AGTTTTGTGATGAGAAGAGGTGGCTAAAAAGCTGAGGGAGCTAGGGTCATGCAAGTTGGAATCTAGGGCTTTGCAAGGCAGGAGCAATTCTGGAAAACTACCCCATGCTTAGGACTGTAATCCTGAGTGGCTGCACCCTGGAAGGAAGAGTAAATGGAAGGAAGGAAGGAAGAGTAAGCTTTCTCCCATATTTCAGCTCAGTTTCAAGTACTCTGGGTGATTCAGAAAAATCTCAGGCACTAAAAATGCTTAAGGTGCTTCTGGATTGCTAATGCCCCTCCCCATCTGCAAAAGTCCATGAAAATCCTTTCCGTAGGAAGATGATACTATCCTAGTCTGAAAATTACCCCACTAGGGGCTCCTGGGTGACTCAGTCGCTTAAGTATCCAACTCTTGATTTCAACTCAGGTCATGATTTCATAGTTGGTTGTGGGATCAAGCCTTAAGTTGGGCTCTGCCCTGACAGCACAGAGCCTGATTGGGATTCTCTTTCACTCTTTCTCTCTGCCCCGCCCCTACTCTCTCTCTCTCTTTCAAAATAAATAAATATACTTAAAAAAAAAAAAGACTAGGGGTGCCTGGGTGGCTCAGTCAGTTAAGCGTCCAACTTCGGCTCAGGTCATGATCTCATGGTCTGTGAATTCGAGCCCCACATCGGGCTCTGGGCTGACAGCTCGGAGCCTGGAGCCTGCTTCGGATTCTGTGTCTCTCTCTCTCTGCTCCTCCCCTGCTCACACTCTTGTGTGTGTCTCTCTCTCTCTCAAAAAAAAGAAATAAACATTTTAAAAAAAATTTTTTAAAGACTTAAAAATTACCCCAATAAAATTTTCAATTACAATTTTCAGCACACAAAGACAATTAGACACAGAAGGAGATAAAGAACAAGAACCAACATAAACAATAGATGATAGAGTTTCTTTTTTCTTTTTTCCAACGTTTATTTATTTTGGGGACAGAGAGAGACAGAGCATGAACAGGGGAGGGGCAGAGAGAGAGGGAGACACAGAATCGGAAACAGGCTCCAGGCTCTGAGCCATCAGCCCAGAGCCCGACGTGGGGCTCGAACTCACGGACCGCGAGATCGTGACCTGGCTGAAGTCGGACGCTTAACCGACTGTGCCACCCAGGCGCCCCAGATGATAGAGTTTCCACAGACTGTCCAGACAGGGGAATTATTAGATATAAATGAGAAAAAAAAGCTATCTTAGTATGATCATTAGGATAAAAATTGAATTAAAAAATTTTTTTAACATTTATTATTGAGAGACAGAGGGACACAGAGCGTGAGCAGGGGAGGGGTAGAAAGAGGGGGGGACACAGAATCTGAAGCAGGCTCCAGGCTCTGACCTGTCAGCACAGAGCCTGACAAACAGTGAGAACCCACAAACTGTGAGATCATGACCTAAGCCGAAGTCAGTTGCCTAACCAACTGAGCCACCCAGGTGCCCCTAAAAATTGAATTTTTGATACAAAGTTGGAAACTAAAAAAAAAAAAACCAGAAATTGGGGTGCCTGGCTGGCTCAGTCAGTAGAGCATACAACTCCTGATCTTGGAGTTCTAAGTCTGAGCCCCATGTTGGCTGGAGAAATTACCTAAAAATAAAATCTAAAAAAAACCAACAACCAGGAATTGAAGACTCAGAAGGTGAAAAATTAATAGCACAAATTAAAAATTCAAGATATGGGTCTAAAAACAGATAAGGTGAAGAAAATAGCTTTGAAGAATCCATTCAGAATTAGAAAATTCACACGTGTTTAGACCTTTACTTTTCTTTTAAAAAAATTTTTTTAATGTTTATTTATTCATTTTTGAGAGAGAGGGATAGAGCACAAGTAGGGGGAGGGGCAGAGAGGGAGGGAGACACAGAATCGGAAGCAGGCTCCAAGCTCTGAGTTGTCAGCACAGAGCCCAACGTGGGGCTCCAGCCTCCAAACTGTGGGATCATGACCTGAGCTGAAGTTGGATGCTTAAGTGACTGAGCCATCCAGGCACCACTAGACCCTTACTTTCTGTAGGTTATATTACAAATCATAGATTTGTTTAACATAATTCTTCAGCTGCTCGTGGCCCCTACTTCCCCCAAGATCTTGGCACCTTTCATCAGAGAGGACTTTTCCTCCTTGCCTGCAGGGTTAGTATCCACCATATTTGTTAGAGTGTTTCTTATCAGTTCCTACCAGTCTGGAGAGCCAGTACCCAGGCTCAGAAACTGCATACACCAGGGTAACCCCATCCTCTCCTAGACCCAGCTGTGGTGGTCACCCCTTTACTCCTTTACTCCTCCATCTGAACCCAGACCTATGGTGTTTCTTTCTTTTTTTTTTTAATTTTTTAATGTTTATGTATCATTTTGAGAGACAGAGACAGAGCATGAGCAGGGGAGGGGCAGAGAGAGGGAGACACTGAATCCAAAGCAGGCTCCAGGCTCCAAGCTGTCAACATAGAGCCTGACGCGGGGCTGGAACCCACGAATCACGAGATCATGACCTGAGCTGAAGTTAGATGCTTAACTGACTGAGCTACCCAGGTGCCCCCAGACCTACAGTGTTTCTGCTCCTGGCTTCACCTTATAATAGATACTTCCTTCCTAAGAAAGGAATATATCCCTTCCCTTTGTCCCAGAGCTGCTCCTCTCTCTCTCAAAGCCAAAATCACTCCTTCTTCTCTGGAGTACAGCTCTCATCTATTTACCTGATCAGGGAAGCCTTATCCTGTAACTAAGAGTCTTGCCAATCAAACAAACAAACAAACAAACAAACAAAGGCTTGTGGGTAAGGGAGGTTCAGGGAGGGAAAATGTATCAGGAGGCCTGGGCCCCCAAGAGGGTCAGAAAGGACTTGGAACAGTATAACCCAACCCCCTCCACTTGCTCATGAGGAAACTGAGGCCCAGAGATGGTGTGACACATCCAAGGCCACGCAGTGAGAAAGTATCACAGCCAGGACCAGGATGAGGGACCTCCTCTGCCACCTACTGCTCACTAAGACCCAAATCAAAGGCTGCCTGTTGCCCTGCATCTGGCAGATGTAGCGCCTTTTGAGTTCCTGGCAGATGCTAGCGCAGTGAAGGTAAAATGGATCAGACACAGTCCTTGCCCCCAAGTGGTACACGTGACTGAGGAACAAAAGTACAAATTAAACCGGCACTACACTTACATGTACCTTACCAGGCTGGATTCATTTATCCCTCACAACCCCATGGGGCATGTAGTATTATTATTATTCCCGTTTTATAGATAAACTGAGGCCAGTGAAGTGAAGTAACTCGCCTGTAGTCTCACAACGGATAATGTGCGAAGCCGGGATTTGAATCTAGGCTGCATAAGCTAGAGATCTGTGGGGGCATGCATGGGAGCAGGGTGGGAAGAAGGCGGTGACTGAGCTGAGCCTTCGAAGTGCATTTTAATAGCCTGGGAAGGGGGAAAGGACAGCAGGACAGGGAGAACCACACGCGCCTCCACCAGCTACAGCAACATGCAGTCAAGTCTCTGTGCCCAAGGATCCCAAAGGCAGTGGGCATGCTTCTCTGCCGTTCCACTTCCATGTTACCCTAAGTGGTGGGGTGCCGGAAAGCCCTGCGGGGAAGGTGATCCACCAGTCAACTCGGGCAGTAAGTGGCCCCCACCAGCAGGGGGGGGGGGGCGGAAGGGCCCTCGGCGAACACCCTCAGTACAGCCAGCTTGCCGCTGGGTGGCACTGTGGCTCCTCAGAGAGGGAACAGCGCCCACCGGGAGACTGGTCACAAAAAAGAGAGGGAACACCATTCCGGCCCTCCTGCGCTGGGCACTGGGGTTACAAAGAAGTACAAGAAACAGTTCCTGCCTTCGCAGACCCGTGGTGGGGCTGGCAGACACCTGGGTAACTAATTAATTACTCCAATAATAGACATAATGAATTGCTCCAACAGCCGGTTCCAGTTGCAGAGCCCAGGGAAGGAGGAGGCATTTGAGCCTTGATACAGGATTGGCCGTTCTAGGACAGGACGGCTGTGATGGTGCTGGCTCCCAGGGCACAGGCACAGATATGGGGAAGGGGGGTTCCCAGAGTCCCAGCTGGGGCCGGGGGCCTCCATCAGCCACGTGCCTGCCGCAGGCGGGAAAGGGTGGGCATCTGTGCATAGGGCTTCAGCACCACCACACTAAGGTGCTCTTTGTCTCCATGAAGCACTTAGCTCAGGGACCTGGTGAGGCCCCTGGTGCTAGGATGACTAGAAAATGCTGGAACCCCCTGGCAGGCACAGAAGACTGCTGGCATCTTGTCCTCTTTCTGTGCATTTCTGAACTCAGCCTCCAGTCCCAGCACTGGTCCCAACTTGCTGCGGGATCTGGGGCCAGACACCACAGGTCTTGGGGCTCAGTGACTGCATCTGTAAAAGTGATCTTTCATGTGCACAAATATGTTGAAAAATGAAAAAAGTTAATCAGAAGCCACAGAGTTGGGGGGGGCGGGGCAGAACGCCTCAGTGGCTCAGTCGGTTAAGTATCCAGCTTCCACTCAGGTCATGATCTCCCGGTTGGCAGGTCATGATCTCGAAGTTTGTGGGTTTGAGCCCTGCCTCTGGCTCTGTGCTGACAACTCAGAGCCTAGAGCCTGCTTCAGATTCAGTGTCTCCCTCTCTCTCTGCCCCTCCCCCCTCTCAAAAATAAACAAACATATATATATATATAATGTTTATTTATATATATACATAAATATATGTATATTTATATATTTATAAATAATATAAATTTTTTTTATATTTATATAAATATATAAGGGGGAAAAATAAGTCAAACAGCAATAAGGTGGGGGGGGGGGGAAGAAGTCAAACAGCAATAAGAACTGTCCATGATGTTTTCTGCTGGCCTGAAGGCATGCCCTGGTCTTCTTTTTAGAGGTGGGCAGTTGGGGAGGAGGACTCCCTTGGCTACCCTTCAGGCCTGGGCAGGACCCAATACAAAACCAGAATATATCTATTTGTCCTTGGAGAACAATTCATCTCCAAATTCAATAAGCAGAACTTTGCAGCAGGGAAACAATTTAATATCTGGTAGATACATTTTCATTAAATTTTTCAAGATGGAACAAAGACTGTATTTCCAAATTTCCTATTCAGAAGTTAACTCATCATGGTGTTGAAACCCACATCCAAGCAGCTGAACTGAAATCAGCTTCCTAAAACAAAACACAAGCAGAGATGGACTGGCTGAAGTTTAAGACAAGACTTCAAACCCTCCCTGGATGATGGGCCCAGGCTTCCTCCCACTCTGGTCCACATGCACCCATCACCAGAAGGGGGTACCCATTGTATCCACTATACCCCCTTCACAGAAACCAGGGGTGGGGCAAGGGCGCTCAGGGTTGCAGGCCCACAGTATCATTTCAAGCAGATACTCCCCACCTTCTTTTGTCATTTAGTAGTGAAGCTGTTGAGAGGTGATAAGGCACTTGGAGGCACCCAGGGTTTGCCAGGCAAGGGGTTTCTCCTCACACTCTTCTCCACCGGTTGTCCAGCCCCAGAGCCAGACTTGCCCAACCCAACTGGGGAGCCCAGGTCACCTTTTAGAGAGATGATTCCCTCCACCCAATGGCAATTCCAGAAGAGGCACAGGCACTTTGCGTAGCAACAGCATGTAAATCCTTTTCACTTAAATAGTGTATTACTGGGGCACCTGCGTGACTCAAATGGTTGAGTGTTTCTTAATTCCAGCTCAGGTCATAATCCCAGGACTGTGGGATCCAGCCCAGAGTTGGGATCTGCAGTGATCATGGAACCTGCTTAAGATTCTCTCTCTCTCTCTCTCTCTCTCTCTCTCTCTCTCTCTCTCTCTCTCTCCCTCTGCCCCTCTGCCCCACTCTCACGTGCTCTTTCTCTCTAAAAAAAAATTAATAAATAAATAAATAGGGTGCCTGGGTGACTCAGTTGGTTAAGCATCTGACTTCGGCTCAGGTCACGATCTCACAGTTTGTGAGTTGGAGTCCCGCATCAGGTGAGCTCGAGCCCAGCATCAAGTTAAGCACGAGTCCCAGTTTGGGTACACACGAGCCCCGCTTCCTGTGAGCTCCGCTTCTCTGTCTCTCTCTCTGCTCCTCGCTCACTTGCACCCTAAATAAATAAACAGTGTATCACCAGTTCAGTTAAATTGCAGTCTTCCAAAGATGCTTTCATCTACACATTTTACTACAAACAATATACATTTTATGTAATTATTTGAATAATGATGAGAGGACACCTAAGGAGAGCTGATGGGGATTAAGGGAGATAGAGCCCTTTCAGTCCCACTCTCCCCTCTGCCTTGGTCCGTTTGCTCCTAATCAATTACTTTTTTAACATATAAAGAGTCATGCAGCGGGGCACCTGGGTGGCGCAGTCGGTTAAGCGTCCGACTTCAGCCAGGTCACGATCTCGCGGTCCCTGAGTTCGAGCCCCGCGTCCGGCTCTGGGCTGATGGCTCAGAGCCTGGAGCCTGTTTCCGATTCTGTGTCTCCCTCTCTCTCTGCCCCTCGCCCGTTCATGCTCTGTCTCTCTCTGTCCCAAAAATAAATAAACGTTGGAAAAAAAATTAAAAAAAAAAAAAAAGAGTCATGCAGCAATAAATCAAGAAATCCTTTTGGCCCAGGCTTTGGGGTACCACACTGTAGGCAGACTGTGCGCAATTGCATCCCCAAATTGCAAGAAGTCAGCTCAGACTAGACTAGGTGCAGAAATGCTTCAGTTTTATGCACAGAAAACTGGCCTTGGAGGAAGGGCAACTGAGTTTCCAGAGGGTATGATATGACCTGCCCCCCCCCCACAGATTTATTCTGTGCAACTGTGTCCCAGAAGAGGCTTTTGGGGGACATGGAAATTTATATATCCCTCATCTGTTCTGCAGAATGCTTCTAATCTCTTTGCAGGGTATCCTGGCATCCCTGAGTTCCTTTTATAAATTTTAGGTATGTAATTTTAAGCAAGTGATTTGTGTCTGGTCTTCCCATCAATCAGAGCTTACTGTTGACTTTGTCAATATCTTGGTGGTGTATTATCTTTAATACACAAAGAACACATATAAGCCAAAAAAGAAGACAAGCACCCTAATTGAAAAATGGGCAAAAACATGAAAAAATATAATTCAGGGTTGCCTGGGTAGCTCAGTCAGTTAAGTGGCTGACTCTTGATTTCTGCTCAGATCACCATCTCACCTGTTCAGGAGGTGAACTCCAACCTCGGGCTCTGTACAGAGCCTGCTTGGGATTCTCTCTCTCCCCTCTCTCTGCTCCTTCCCTGCTCGTTCTCTCTCTCTCTCTCTCTCTCTCTCTCTCTCTCTCTCTGTCAAAATAAATAAATAAGCATTAAAAAGAAAAAGAAGGGACGCCTGGGTGGCGCAGTCGGTTAAGCATCCGACTTCAGCTAGGTCACGATCTCGCGGTCCGTGAGTTCGAGCCCCGCGTCAGGCTCTGGGCTGATGGCTCAGAGCCTGGAGCCTGTTTCCATTCTGTGTCTCCCTCTCTCTCTGCCCCTCCCCCGTTCATGCTCTGTCTCTCTCTATCCCCAAAATAAATAAACGTTGAAAAAAAAATTAAAAAAAAATAAATAGAAAGAAAAATACAATTCATAAGAAGTTAAGAAATGCCCAGTGTTAGTGAAACTATCCCTCACCTTCTAGGACTATGCATATAATTTTATACGACTAAGAATAATTTCAGGGGCACCTGGGTGGCTCCCACCGTTAAGGGTCTGACTCTTGGTTTCTGCACAGGTCATGATCTCGCAGATTGTGAGTGTGAGCCCTGCTTAGGGCTCTGTGCTGACAGCTCAGAGCCTGAAGCCTGCTTTGGATTCTGCGTCTCCCCCCCCTCCCCCCGCCCTTACCCTCCCCTGCTGGCATTTTGTCTCTCTCTCTTTCAAAAATAAATAAACATTAAAAATAATAATAATTTAAAAATGTTTCAAATCTGTATACTCTTCGATCAAGCAATTCCACTTCTCCAAATGTATCCTATGGAAACATCTGCCCAACTAAAATGGACGTACAAGGATTTTCGTTGTAGCATTATTTACTACCGGAAATTTATTATAGGAAAACTGGGGAAAGTCCAGCAAGAGAGTAGATTGGGACTCCTCCAAGCCTCCACCAGACGCGCGGAGCTGAGCCAGCCCGACCGAGCGACGAGAGCCCTTCTCCCTCCTGCGGAGCCCCAGCTCAGACCCTTTCCGCGACCGGGACTCGGCCCACAACCGCCTCTCCCACCAGGCCCGCGGGCGGCCGGGGCTGCCCGGGGAGTGAGCGCAGCGGTTCGGCCACAGCGGGTGGCCGTTCTACGTGCGCTCGCTGCCCGTGGCCGCGGTCTAGGACCCCGCCGCGGGGGCCGCGCCCGCCGGCGGCCCCGGGCTCGGCCGGTTAGCTCAGCGGCGGCGTCTGGAAGATCTCGCAGCCGCAGACCGCTGGCGCGTGTCCCTGGAAGTCAACCGCTCCGCCTCCGAGGAGCCGACGGTCGAGAGCGAGGAATGCGTAGTGGATGGAAGATCACTGGCAAGCTCGAAGAGAGGTAAGACGGCCATGGCTGCTTCTCCCCGGGCTTCGCTCAAAAACACACGCTGCCCCCTGGTGTGGACCCCACCCTGGTCTCCTCCTCTCTGTCCCCTGAGGGCAGGCTCGCCGTGGGGGCCTCGATGACCAGCCAGCTTGAGGCCCCAGAAGCTGGGAAGCCGAGAAGCCTGGAGCCAAGTGAAGGCCTTAGCCTTGCTGTACACCTTCCCCCTCAGTAGCCACCTCTGACCATCCCCACCTGCCAACCCGTGAGCTCTTTTCATACTTTACCTTCTGTTTTTGTCAAAGTTCGAAGCAACTCCCCACCACACCACACCCTCAAAAAAGAGCACATTGGTTCAACTTTTGGTTAACCATACAATAGCCCACGAAGCTATTAAAAAGGATAAGGTAGATCCGTACCTCTTGATGTAGCCAATATGTCCTCCAAGTATTGTCAAGTTTAAAAAAAAAAGATTAAAAACTAGTATGTTCCCAATGAATCCTTCTATATAAAAATAGAAATCTATATATACATTGAAACCCTGGAAAATTATACAGCTCATTAAACTTTTATGATGGGCTAGCTTTGGGATGGATTTAAATTTTCCCATTCTTGGGGTGCCTGGGTCACTCAGTGGGGTAAGCATCTGACTCTTGGTTTGGGCTCAAGTTGACGTCACAGTTGGTGAGTTGGAGCCCGCATGGGGCTCCATACTTACAGTGTGGAACCTGCTTGGGATTCTCTCTCCCTCTCTCTGCCCCTCCCCTGCTCTCTCTCTCTCTCTCTCTCAAAATAAATAAATAAACTTTAAAAAAAAGTTGTCATCACACACACAGAATTTGTAACTGGTTGGTGACAGATGTTAACTGAAACTAATTATATGCCAACTATGTCAATTATACCTCAATTTTAAAAAATGAAAAAGAAAAGGCAGAAACAGAATAGTGTAAATAGCATGCTACCTGTTTTTGTAAGAAAGAGAGAGAAATAAGGAAAAATATGTTTTTAAGCCACTTTATTGAGGTATAATTGACATAAAAAAAGCTGTACAAATTTGATGTATACAACTTCATGAATAATAGAAACTTATCTATATTCACTTTTTTATCAAGGTATAATTGACATATTATATTAGTTTCAGGTGTACAACATAACGACTCAATATTTGTACATATTGCAAAATGATCACCACAGTAAGTCTAGTTAACATCCATCACCACACATAGTTATAAAACAGGTTTTTTATGATAGGAACTTCTAAAATCTACTCTCTGAACAACTTCTGAATATGCAATACAGTATTTTTAAAATATTTTTTTTATTTTTTAAAGAGAGAGAGAATGCATGAACAGAGGAGAGGGGCACAAGGAGAGAGGGAAGGATCTTTTTTTTTTAATTTTTTTATGTTTATTTATTTTGAGAGAGGGATAGCACAAGGAGGGGGCAGAGAGAAGGAGAGACAGAATCCCAAGCAGGCTCTGCGCACCATCAGTGCAGAGCCTGATGCAGGGCTTGAACTCACCAACTGCAAGATCATAGCTTGAGCAGAGATCAAGAGTCAGACACTTAACTGACTGAACCACCCAGGCACCCTGAGAGGGAAGAATCTTAAGCAGGCTCCACATTCAGCATGGAGCCCAACGCAGGGCTTGATCCCACAACCGTGACATCATGACCTGAGCCGAAATCAAGAGTTGGATATCGGGGCGTCTGGGTGGCTCAGTCGGTTAAGCGGCCGACTTCGGCTTAGGTCATGATCTTGCGGTCCGTGAGTTTGAGCCCCGCATCAGGCTCTGTGCTTACAGCTCAGAGACTGGAGCCTGTTTCAGATTCTGTGTCTCCCTCTCTCTGATCCTCCCCCGTTCATGCTCTGTCTCTCTCTGTCTCAAAAATAAATAAACGTTAAAAAAAAAATTTAGAAAAAAGAGTTGGACATCTAACCGACTGAGCCACCCAGACACCCCTGCAAAACAGTATTATTAATTATAGTCATCATGCTATACATGACATCTTATATGTACTTCTATTTACATAAATAAAACTGGAAGGATTCACAATATATGAATAAAAGTGGTTCTCTATAGATGGCAGGTGGGGAGGTAATGAGCTGGCTGGGGGTATAAGTGCAACCAAGACTTCTAAGCACAGACCTTTTAATATTGTTTTGACATTTGAAGCAAGTATTACCTTTATGAAAAAATGAATTATGAAAAACCCAGCAACAATGGCATCATCAAATCTAGTGAGGATGTGATAAACTTATTTTACTCACACACACAGTCATCTCCATTCAAGCAAGCATCATTCATTGCCAATGT